GAATATAATCGTGTAGGAAACAGACATAAATCAATAGGAGGGCACCGAAATGAGGTTAGCAACTACCTGCCATGCTTTGGATTTCCTCTGTGATTTTAGTCCTGATGTGTTGCATTACATTTTTTCATCTTCTAAATTAGTCCTCCTGACTCTCTGACAGTCGTGTTGATATTTTAACTCTTGTGATCCAGCTGTGTAACTGTGGCTGCACTAACACGTCAGTGTTGGCCCGGCTTTAGTTATTTTCTAGTGTAGTGACGCACGTGTTAGGATTGGTTATTGACTTGGTAGGTGCCTGATGATCTGTAACTATCACTCCACCCCTCCAAAACCAATCTGAACATATAACACTATTCTCTCTATTCCTCCTGAACACACATTTTTTCACTAATTTTACAATAAAAGATTAAAGAATCAGTAAAGTTTTATATTGTACCTGTTTTAGCTTGCTAAACAACAAAATTAATCCAGGAAATGACTTACATTGACAAATGTAAAATGTAAACAATGGTTTCAAATCAGAGATTAGGATTTCTTGCGCTGAGCATGTTCTCTGTGTAGCTTTCAAGTGTTGCAGCGTTTTCTTTTTTGGATCTATCTGAGTTCTCATCAGCATTTCTCGTCACAAGCGAATTTAAATCTTTGAAAGTCAGGTATTCTCACAGAAGATGCAAGCCATCACACTCCATCTCCTTTTTTGCCTTTGCCTCATCCGTCTCTGCTGATCTCCGTTGGGTTTTTGAGATCGTTTTCATTTCTCCACATCACACTGTGCACGCCGTCTCTCTCTTCGCTGCTGCTGCTGCTGCTGCTACATGCCATAATGATAATACATACCATCTGATAAAGACTGTTCAGCTCTTCTGTTGGTACTGTCAGCTGTTTCTTCTTGCAGTTTGTTTCGTTTTTGGGGTTTCATTTTTCTATCTGATTTTTTTGTTCTTTGTTCTTCTCCTGATTGCATGCTAGTCTCACAAGCGTCTTTCCAAAGTAAGCATTACTCTTTTTTTCTGTTCTTCTAATATTTCCGTGCCCACTTCCCCTCTGCAACACCTCCTGTCTTGTGAGCTGCGCTGTGAAAAACCCCCCCAAAAAACAACATTCCTGTTTTTCGAATGCTTCCCCCTGAAACCCGGCTTGCCCCCTTGTGCACACTGCAGCCGTTGCGATCCCCATCTGCACCCTTCATCACAGCAGATGGACGTTTTTTGCAATACCAATAACCCTACGCAACCTCACTCACTTCCTTTCCTTTTCCTCTTTCCTTCCTTTCCCTTTCTGGTGGTTTTATATGACATGAATTTCTACAGAAATGTCACATCAGGATTATTTGTTGTTGTTTTTTTCCTATTCAGATGTAGAGAAATTCACTAAATAGATAAATAAATATTGCAAATAATTGTCCAAATTCCTTCCTCACCTCCTCTTCCTGTTCCCTGCTTGGGCCTTTGTCCTGGAACTCTCTTTACAAACTTATCTCGCTATTACACTGCGGTAATGAGTGCTTTATATCTGTTATGCTGTGTACTGTAATTCCCTTGCTGTAGAAGGATGAACTCTTTAAAATACTGCCAGCATCCTAGTCCAGAGCAGCAGGACCGGATCTTTATTTAAGCAGCCTTTCTGTCATCACATGAAACAAATTTATCTTATTTTTTTTTTTAATATTTAATTAATAAATTTTTTCTTGTACCACAGGCCCCAAAATTCTCCAGACTGCGGTCACGTTTTGGCGCATCAGCTATACTGTAGCCCCATCATCTAGTTTGCTACTTGTCGCAGTGTTTTTCATGTCAGTCATTCAATTTATGGCTCGGCTATACAGTGACTCAGGCTATAGGATGCGATTAAAAAGCTAATTTTTTTTTTTTTTACCATAAATGAATAGAAAGACGCAAAAATGGGAGAGTGAGTCAGTAAATTGGAGGTCGGTGTGAAGAGAGCCCTCCTGATGCTCTGTTTGCTGCTGCGCAGTCACACAATCAGTTTAGTGCACACACATAGATCCTAATTGATCACATGACTCTCCTTTTATGTGCCACAGTTCGAACCCTCTCCACCCCCATCCTAACTCTTTTGCAATATCTCCCATATATATAGATATATATATAATATATGTGTATGTATACATATATACACGAGCCTCTGTGGCCTGCAGTGGTCACATGACCTCAGCAATGGCATTAGGTCCAAGCAACGTGAGCTCGATCGCCCCAACCCTAATGATGCACAAATCAAAGATGCATTTGGTAGAAGAAACGTATGCGCCGTGCCTCTATGCAAAACGGCATAAACGGCAGTCCTGATGTAATAATAATAATCATTCAGGCATCTAATGTAACATATCCAGCTAGATGGAGAGGCTAACCTAACCACTCAGTCAGCCCTCTGACGCTGTTACATCGGTATTGGCAGTGTTATTTCAGAGTTGTACTTGAGCCACAGGCGCTTACGATATCAGTGTGTCGCGTTTCCATTCCTGTCAGTGTTTACGTTGCTCATTGCTTTAGTTGACATTTTTGTTTCTCTTTAATTTTCTTTCAGTATGACAGGCTAAACCTGATTAAAGTAAGCATTTCTTCTTGTTTTCATTTGACCCATTTACAATCCCTTCTGCCTCCCATTGAGTCCCTTAGGCCTCCACTTACCCATCATATAGAGATGGATTTCTAGTTCCTGTCCCTCTTGTCCTTTCCAGTGCGCCCCCACCCTCTGACTCAATGCGAAAGGATCCTGATTTCATTCTGAAATGTTAAATAAGCAGCCCAGCTTAATCAGAAGACTGATTCCACTGTAGTGATTGTCAGCACTGTAAATGACAAAATATTATTATTCGAGCCAATTCTTTTGCACACACAAAACTATTTCTTTAAAACAATATGTCCTAAAATTTAAACCAAGAAATCTTCCCCTCCTCTTATGTAGTCACAGGAAGTCAAACACAGTGGCACATGCATACATGCACGCCTTGTCCAGACAGTGGACTCCGAGTCATTTCTCTCTGTCACCTTCAGATCAGAGTAGCGCACATTGGCCCAGCTATCATCACAGCCTTGAGCCCGCTTCTGCAGCTAAATGCTAGCTGACGCTGCGCACACCAGAAAAGCAGCAAACCCTGTTGAACAGAAAACAAACAAACTAAATATTTCTGTGTTTTAAAATTACAGTTTTGCAATATTTAGGGCTTCATTCAGTCCATGATTTGTGTTTTGTGGCAATTTCTAAAGCTGCCAAGTCAAAGTGTGATACGAAACATATGACTCACTCTTTAGCTACACCGTCACAATCAACATCATCGACTTTTTTTTCTGTGTTCTTGCCAAAACTCAATCTGGATTATCCGCAAAGTCTGTTATTCACATCAGATTTAACTTACTGTGCCAGTTTGGGGGTTTTTTTTGTTCTTTTATTAATATAATATTTCTTTGTCAATCATCCCTCTGCTGCCAGACACATTCTGTATGATGCACTTTCTCCTCTTTAGTCCCCGTCTTCTTCCCTCTTCTTTGTTCTCCCCTTTGAATGATCACCTGCATGTTCCCTCTGTGGGACTTTTTGCATTTAGACTGTTAGAGTTGAAAGCGTGTTTATGTGAATGGAATTGTGAATCTTATTAGGCCACACCTCTGCTGCCCTCTGCTGCTGTAAAACCGCAACAGACGTGATTGTTTGTCTAAGAAGAGACCTCAAAAGAACAAATTATAGAAAATCACCAGTGACACGTTTCACACCCATTACAGCTCATTTAAATATCATCACAGCTCTCACTAAACTACAAAGGTGAATTAATTTTCACATTTTCTTTAAAAAATAAACTCCACGCAGGCAATGTGATGATTTTTGAAGACATATCGATGTACGTCTTGTTGTAAAGGTATTTTGAAATACAAACATAGTATATCCAGTCAGCGAATGCAGCACGCAACATGCTTTAGAATTAAATTACTTTCAGTTCCACCAACACAGGAAGCAGGTCTTCCTTGTAAGATTTAGGGAAAAGTCCTATATTTGATTGATAAGTAGACATGTCTGTCTGGGTGCTTACGTAAGTGGACTGGAAGATAATTTAACCCTCCATCGTTTCCATGTTCAGGATAGAGTACATTATTTAAATAGTGTGGGGAATTCTGCTGTTAAGAAATTGTTGTTTTACATCTGATGGATCTGGTTATTAAAAAGGTGATCGTGTGTATCTGCATAAGCCTTCAAGCCTGCTGCACTGTTCACTAGTTCCACGGAGTTAAATGCTTTTCCTCTTTTTCTCTTTCCACAGAAGAGCCAAAGCTGGTACAACGTAAGTCACGCCTTCTTTATCTCCTTCTGTCTGTGTGTGTGTGCGTGTGTGTGTGTGCGTGTGTTTGTGTTTGTGTGCTGGGGTGTCTTCATGTCATGTTTGTGACACCTGAAAGTGTTGGTTTAGTTGCTAACACTGCTTAGGAGCTGAAAGGTCTGCTGTCCTTGACCTTGTTTACTGGAGCACTGAACCACCAGTGTGCGTTACTGGTCCTGCAGGAAGGGATTAGCAGGAGGCTTAAAATAGCAGCAAGTGGGCCTTTGATGCAGCAAAGCAAGACAACAATCCTTCAGCACTGCAGTGCAAGATTTGACTAATATGCCCACATATTTGACTGGTATCACACAGTATAGAATCGACGCAGATTATTGCAGTTTTGTGTTTTCACCACAAGGTGGTGTGCTAACACTATTTTCCTAACCATGGTTCTCTTTGTAGATAGCCACTGAACATCCACTTAACAAATATTTTAAACCTTTTTTTTTTAAACAGAAAGGTTGCCAGCTGTGTGGGTTTAAGTGGGTTTAACCACTAATAAGTGAGAACACAGTTTCTACAGAAGGGTCTTTATTGGATTTTTCCCCCCATTTTGTGCTCCTTTTATTTCTTCTGTTGGTTTATTTCCTTTCTTTTATTCCCTGTGTGTACACTCTGCCACTCTCTCCCCAGCATGAAAGACAACACATCCTGAGAGTAAGCATGACTTGTATTTTTGTCCAGCCCTGATTATCTTTGACTTGTCTCTCTTGCTCTCAGACTGGTGGGATTTTTTGATATCCCTCCTGCCTGTTTCTCATTCCATTGCCTTCCCTCAGCACTCAGCGTTGCTACTGCCAGCAAGTGACACGCTGAAATAGAAAGCACTGTGCTGTCATGATAAAGCTCAAAACAAGATCTTCCATATTGTGTTTTCAACACGGTGTAGAAGAATCGTACAGCACAATTATTCTTTCGTAGCAGTAACAGTGTTCAAAGGGTTTGCATTTTACACGTGGACCTGTGAGCACAAGTGAATTTCTATTTCTGGCGTGCAACAGGTGGTAGCACACTGAGTTCCTCACTGTACTAAGCAGCTCAGTAAACTATCACAAGGGCTTCTGAATGCGCCATGGGAATGAAGCATGGTGCTTTAGGTTGTGGCACGTTTTCCTCCTGCCCAGCTCTCTTTCCTGCGTCCTGATAAGCACGGGCACTTGGTCTGGCATTAAAACAAGGAGAAACACAAGGCCCTAACTAAACATAGCTGAAACATGAAAAAGGATTCTGAAAGCTTTTCAATACTTCGCTAATGCACTCAGCTGTAATAAACCCATTTCATTTCCTCTACTGACCTACTATCTGGAACAGACCGTAACAAGTGATAATCACTGCTGTAAGTGCCGTCCTGTGGTTCTCAAACTGTGGGGTGGGCCCCCTGGTGGAGAATAGAGGCACCACAGGGGAAGGAGCCACATTAACTTAATTTATTACAGTTTAAGCAGAGGAGGCAGACGCATGAGAGTTTCCTGATGCTATTATTATTAGTTTTATTTCAATAAAATTACCAGAAAATAGACATTATAGTTTGCAAACCACTGGACTGCACTGATAATCTCTCACATCATACTTACAGATGATATACTGCCGGCTACCAGCACAGTGAACTTGTCGTGTACAAGATGGCAGGATGATCTGCCCTTACCTCCAGATTATGTTGCTGTCAACAAATCTCTGTAAAAGGCCAAACTTAACAGTGAAGCCACCCTGCTCATTAATTGCCACGTTTTCTTGTTCCTTTATCTTGCAGATCTGCATTTTTGTCAGCGGAAGCACTGCGTGCCGTGTTTTTACCCTGAACACGGTCACAACTGTTTACATGCATGCTCCTTCGAGTCCCTTTGTACTACAAGCCTGCCGTCTGTATCAGTTCTGCAGCTGAAAACAGTCCACACATATACTGCATATAAATATATGCATTAGCTTACAGCACCCAGATGTTGAAAGGAAATTATTTAGTCTTTAAATAAGACTGAAATGTTTGGTGATGAGTAAATGCTATGGACACAAAAGACAAATCTACTGTGGCTTACAAGTTAAAAATAGTATTTTGTTTTGACATACAGAGAAGACTTGAGCCATCAAATTTAAATCAGCACATGTGATGCAGGGATGAAGCTTTCCAGCATTAACTCACATTAAGCACATCAAGCTAAGAGTTGCACCCAAACAAGCCAGTCAGTCTTTGTAGCTTCGTCAACTTCTTAAGAGTAAGAAGTTCACGTTGTTGTTATTTCGAAGTTGCGTTGGCTCAAGACTAAAACTACATAGAGTGTGTATGTGAGACAACTTCAACAGGATAGCTGGCCTCAGGTCTCCGAGCCACAAACAGGGAGGAAAAGCCTGAAAATAAGAAATGTTGATATCACATTTATGGAGTAATCCCTTAATATGAATATTCAGAATTGGCATTACAATGTTCTCTTCAAACCCCGCTGACAATGTGAATCGGGGTGAAATTCACCATCACAGCTGATTCATAATGGTGAATTGAATTAACTGCTCAGCATCGGGGCTACCTTCCTGACATCTTGTACACTAATCTTTACACACATGTGTTTTTACTAAAGCTCAATCAGCCGGAGAAACGTGTGTCTAACAGATCCTTTTTCAGTTCACTTGGTTCTGACACGTAGGTGTTGTAGCATTCATGCGCCTGCTTGTCAGACACTGTGTGCATGTGTGTGTGTGCACGTCTACGTGGCAGTAGCGATCGGCCACGACTTCGAAACTACAGTGACTAAACATCCACCTTTCCTAACGCGAGCCCGTACGAGGTAGGCACGGTCACCTCACTTTCTTAGGAGCAGCATAATTGCGTTTTCTTATTCGCTTTGCATCTACACAAATGTGTGGCCTCCAGGAAGTTGGCAGGAAAAGAGAAAACAAGCAACAAACAGCAAGATAAGAGATATCTGGACAGTAGACAGTGCATGCGTTTAGTGCATGGAGACCAACTTTCCATAAAATGAACAACAGCGGTAGTAAAATAGAGAGTTTATTGTTAATAGGATAAACACACTCCTCCGGTACACAGCATAAAACCCCACCCAGGTTTGCAGTACCAGTCTCCTCCATCCCCTACTGTTTGTCCAGCATGTTAATAGTTAACCAGATCGATACACGCTGTGTGTTGGTAGTTCCACTTTATACCCCGTTCGTCCTAGGCGTCACTGTGCCGCCTGAACTCTGCATGCAAAGTCACAGTCAAGTCAATGAACTCTTTCTTTCCTTAAGCTATAAAGCTACAAAATCGACACGAATACACGGAAATACCACAAGTACGGGATGAACCTTCATTAAGTTTCATGCTCATGATGTAAAGGCATGTTTTCCAAGAAGCCTGTGATATTTTTCTTTCTGCTTCCTCAACTTACGCAAAGATGGGACTCGTGGCTGGATTCCAGTGCCCAAATATGACTTATAAATTTGCTTAGAGCAATGAAAATCCAAGCCACAGTTACACTTGTTTTGTGTTTTGTTTTGTTTTTCTCTCTGTTTGTTTTTTGTTTTGCTCACCAGTCAGACCTCCATAACTGCGCCCACGTTTTTGAGCGCCGAAGCATTTTTTTTTGTTAAGAAAATCTATCGATTTTAAGTGCTGCTGAAGTAGAAGCTCTCCATCCTTCTCGCCCACTGAAAGTAGCAGAGGGGGATCAGGTGTCAGGAGTGCATGAATGACCTCAATACCAAGGCAGGAAGGAACCACTCCATACTTGCAGTTTCTTGAAATCGCCGGCGTTCAGCACGTTCAGTACTCGTACTTTGGATTCCAGCGGCCTTTCATTCATAAAATAAACGTTAAAAGCCCAAGAGCAAAGAATTATCGAGCGCGTATTTATTCATTCTCCTCGCTCTGCTATTTAAACCCTGGCTTGTGACCCGGTGCAGTCCCTTTCAAGATTGATGGTGTTGTTTTGCAGCCAGAGGTAACTGGAGGTTATGCTCACATCTGTTCTCTATAACTCAATCACTCGCTCAGACTGTAAGACGGACTCAACACATACTTTGGCTTTTTTCCCCTTTATTCAGTCCTACTTTTTTCCCCTACAGCTACATCTTTGTTTATATTAATCCTCCAGTCTGCAGAGTAAACTCGCCTCATTCTTTGCTGGTCATAAACAGAGTAATTATCAGGCACTCAGACCTGGACAGCAATACACACACACACACACACACTCATGCTCTGCTTGCACACTTACGAGGAGGCGTAAGCAGAAAAAAGGAAAAGGCTACTGGCGTGATAATAAAGGACTTGTTGGCTGGGGTTACTAGAGGGCAACGGCCGTAACTCCTCTCCCTGTCTGTGTGAAAGGAAGCGAGAGAGAGGCACAGAAAGACAGAGTGAGACAGGAATCATGTGGCTGGAGTGCGTTGTGTCCACTGCTCAGTGTTGAAAGGGAGCAGCACCCAAGAGGAGGAGGGGAGCGCGGATACTACAGCTTCAAACTGCTGCACACATTGTCTGGCTTCTCTTATTTTCCCAACTTTTCTCGAACTGACAAGTCAAGTCGGCTGTGAGACGAGCCCACTGGGGCGCATTTTTGGAAAACTTGTTTCCATCCAGGCAGCAAAAAAGGATCTGGCGCCCTGAATATGGAACTGGATGAGGACTGTACGCTGTCTGACTGGGAGGCCATGCTGGAGCTGGATGAGGCGTTGGCATTGTGGGTTCTGCAGGGTCCAGCTAGAGGGGAATGGGGTTGGGAGTGGGGCTGGGCTGCCTCAGACCTTCAAGACCCCGAGTGGGACAGTGAGGAGATTCCTGCTGTAAGTCGACCCCAGCTCGTAAGCCGAAAACATCACGGGGAGAAGCGTTGAAAAATGAAAATGTAACCTTGAAGCGGCAAAACAGAGGATCGCCCAGAGGGCTTTTTTAGGGAACTTTGTGTGCTGTGCATGCTGCTGTGAGCGTAGTTCTGTGGTAAATCCCCACCAATAATTCAAACAAGTGGTTTGGCTGTGAGTCTTTGCTATTTGAAATCTTCTTGAGCTCACATAGGCCTGTTGTTTGGCATGATTGTCCAGTTACTATGTGAGTGATTTCATTTGTCAACAGCGGAGGTTGTTTCTAGGGTTGTTTTAAAAAATGGAAACATGATGATGTCTGCAGAGAACAGCATGATTTTTTTTAAGAACACTTTCAGTTTTTTGGCTTTAGACTTCTCCCTTGAGCCTCGATCAAAAGGAATATGTATTTTCTTTTCTTTCTGCTTAACTCTTGTTGCTGTTATGTTTTCCTGAAGTTTTCCTGTTGAAGGAAAGCATCTGGCACGGACAGTGAGAGCCTTCCCTCTGGTACACATTTGGAGATATATCACAGGCTAATCTAGTCAGCTGAAGCCAAGCATAAAGAAAAATACTGGTCATATGGAACAGAATATGCGTCCCGTTTGATCCTAATAAGCTAACACTGTCTGCTTGTTTACACTTGAGATTTCATCGATGATCCAACAAAAGCCTCACTGTCAGAAATATGTCGCCCTGTAATGCAAATAGGATATCCTGACTCATAAATACCAGTCATGGCAGCATGTGTTTTGAATGATTTGCACTGGGCTGATTCTTTCCTTGCATTGCGCTTTAAATCGGTTATGATGCGTCCTTTCAGATATCTCGGGCTACGTACCTCTGCTTGCCGTACTCTGTATTTCCATTTGCAGTAACTGTGAAAATCCCCCACAGGACGAAAGTCACGGCATGATTAAAGTAAAGCGGACATACCGATCAAACCTGTGGGTGGTTTTAACAAGGTTATCTCACATGCTCATGGAAACAAGTAACCCAGGCTGTGTGACAGAGGCAACACTTGTGAACAGAGCATGAGGATGCGAGTGTGTGTTTGTTTGTTTGTGTGTGTGTGGTTTCTGACTCTGCCTGTCACTGCAGGTGCTGAGCCCGACATACAAGCAGCGCAATGAGGACTTTAGGAAACTCTTCAAGCAGCTCCCTGACACAGAGAGACTCATTGTGGGTGAGTGTACACACTGAGGCCATCTGAGTACTGGCAGGGTGCAGCCAGCTTGGTAGTAATTAGAAAATGATTAATCCTTCCGGAGCAGATAAGTACGGGATATTCCCACCGGCTGACATCATGGCATGACTGTAAATATGTGTCGATTTTTGTCACTGAGTAAAATAAATCCCACGGTCTTCAGAGGCCTTAGTGTCATCGTTTGAGGAGACCTTTTCCTTTTCGGGCACTCATGTGAACACGTAATGAACACAAGTTTCGCTCATTTGTTGTTGAGAGTTTCTCAGTGTTCCTATGAGTACAGTCATTGTTGTAAATGCTTCCGACTAAATCAAACTGCATGTGAACTTGACTCGAACTTGCTGTTATGGTCAGTTTTGTGTCCTATTTGTTGTTGTTGTTTCTGTGCTACATGGTGCAGTTCCTGTGCCGTCTTTTTTCTCATTTTCCATCATGTCTGATTTCATGACTCATCCATGTTGCAGACTACTCCTGTGCTCTTCAGCGGGACATCCTCCTGCAGGGACGACTCTACCTCTCTGAGAACTGGATCTGTTTCTATAGCAACATCTTCCGCTGGGAAACGCTGGTATTGCTGCACTTCTGTGCATTCTTTCTGGCAGTATTGGGTGTGTGTGTGTAAGTAATGGTGTACATTTGTGTGTTTGTTTAAAGCTGACGGTGCGGCTAAAGGACATCTGCTCAATGACAAAGGAGAAGACCGCCCGGCTCATTCCCAATGCCATCCAGGTCTGCACGGACACTGAGAAGGTAAGGGATACGCAAGACTTTGTTTTCAGTGTGTACATGTCAGTGTTTATTGATGATGTGGCTGCTGATAGAAGCACAAAGATGAAGTGTGAAGTTTACAGAGCTGTGCTCTCTGCTCAGATTCAGCCAAATACTGCCAAACTGATCAGACAGCTACAAATGGATGATGAGATAAAGCACCCCGGGAGTGCAAACCAAGAGTTTCTTAAGGAAAAATAACAGGATATTCTTCTATGGCCCAGTCAGTCATCTGATCTCAGTGAAACAGAGGCGCTTTTTTAGTTATTAAATGCAAAACTGCAAGCAAATGACACAAGCAAACAAGCTGCAAATTAAAGAGGTTTCAGTAACTTTCTAGTCCCTGTACTTTCTTGGGGAAAAAAATCTGAATTGAAGCTGAAAGTCTGCATTAGAATCACACATTAAATGTTTGATTTACAGCCCACTGTGGGGTGGTGGTGTGCAGAAGCAAAACTACAAAATTGCGTCTTTTTCCTCAAACATTATGGAGGGCACCCGTAAATGTGTCAGAAATATGTGCTTTAGTTTTTATTTTCATTTATTTCAACTAATTTACAAAATTATTTCTCCCTTTCATTTTGTATTTTGTTACTTTTTAGTTTCCACTTATTTAATCTCCCAGAACTGACTCTCTTCCCTTTTTTTCTATTTGCATGTCTTTGTACATGATGCAAATTCCTTTATTTATGGTGTTATTTTAGTTCCATGTCGGCTAATACGAGATCGCGTTTTATTCTCTGCAGCACTTCTTCACCTCGTTCGGAGCCAGGGACAGGACGTACATGATGATGTTTAGACTGTGGCAGAATGCGCTGCTCGACAAGGTCAGCAAATCCAATTTGTGACTTTATGCTTTGGTCTATATTTTTTTTTCTTTTGCCACACATGGGATGACAACAACAAATTGCTGCATGGTTCCCTGCTCACTCTCTTCGTTCCTTATAACTGGTTTGTTGATCTTCTGCAGCCTCTGTGCCCCAAAGAGCTCTGGCACTTTGTTCATCAGTGCTATGGCAACGAGCTCGGCCTGACCAGTGACGACGAGGACTACGTTCCTCCCGATGATGACTTTAACACCATGGGGTATGTCTGGTTATGGTGCTGCATCAGTTACTATGGCTACCACTATAAATATTGTCATTTGGTTGCCTAATTTCCCAAATTAGAAAATAATTATTCCGGCCAACATGAGCCAGAGCCAGTAAATACTGAGTATTTTCTGTGCCGATGTACTATTAATACAGTCACGGTTTGAATGCTTTTATTCTACAATGCACTCACAGTGAAGGCTAAAGGCTTTGTTGCGAACATGTCTACATACACATAAGAGGCAGTTTGCCTCAAAATCAAGTTTACATGTTTCTCCCCTAGTGCTAGTTATCGATCTCGATCTTTTTGTGTTGAGCTCATCAGTTTTGGGTGGAGGTGTCTGTGTTCCTTATGACATAATGTAAATAAATGGCACTTGGCTCACTGTTGGCTCACTCCTACATAAAACCACAAACCATGCTGCCTTTGCAGTGGTTGATTCGTAGACAGTGACAAGGTCATGCTCGCAATCAGTAGCCATCTGGGTGTGTCAAGTTGACAATAAAATGTCAATAAAAAGAACTCACTCTGCTATCAGTTTGTGATTGAACGGGGTCAAGTCAGCAGCCTCTGATAACACGGGAATTACCTGTGACAGATAAGCAGAAATTAGAAATCTCTTGCCATCTGTTGTAAATCCATTGCTGTCTACAATCAGAGAAATTCACATTTACTGCTTACATCCAGACTACAGGCAGAAACTCATATATTTGTAACTTAGCTATTCTATTATCGCAGACGTCTCTACAGCTGCAGTAAAGTCTGGGGCTGTCACGTTTCTCCATTGCCTTCAGGTTCAGTGAGGAGATTCCCAATGAGGAGAACGAGATCAACAATGATAACTTGTCCAAGAACAACGTAGAAGCCAAGCCTGAAGGGAGCCCTCCTCCTGTACAAAAGAAGCTCATCCCAAACAGCACCATCCCCACCCCTGGCAACCACGATACCATCACAGTAAGTTGTTGCAGTTATGCTCTATACTCTGTTTTTAACCACGTAAAGCCTAAAACATGAAATCATTGGCAGACAATTCCTTTCTATTTTTTTTTATTTCAGTGTTTATTCTACCTTTTGACATTTTTCACGTTTTTAAAAAGGAAATAACATTTTACTTTGCATATAAGAGTTTTAATTTGTATCATTATTGCTCCAGTCAGTATTTTTGTGCAGTTTTTTCAGGTTTTTCAGTATTTAAAAAAAAAATCACAAAAATTTAAATCAAATCACATGCAAACCTCAGAATCTCTGAATAACTTCACCATATTGTTTTTCCGCAGTTTGACCTCCCAGCTGAGGAATATGCAGACTGCCTGCCAGATGGTGATCTGCTGGCTGTCCCTCTGGTGGTGGAGGAAAAGAATGAGACCAGTGGGCCTGCTGGTCCTGTCCCATCACCGTCACTGGACTTCAATGACAATGAAGACATCCCCACTGAGCTCAGTGATTCTTCAGAAACACACGACGAGGGTAATTGCAGAGAGCGGACGGTCTTTGCTAACAGGACGACTATTCATATAATTTAAAACCAGAACATAAGAAATTTTTTTCTTTATTTGTTATGTGTGTTTCTTTGCCATGTAGGAGAGGTACAAGCCTTCCATGAGGATCTCAATGGCAGGCAGCATATCAATGAGATCTACAAGTTCAGCGTGGACAAGCTGTATGACATCCTTTTCACGGAGTCTCAGTTCATGAGTGATTTCATGGAGCAGAGGCGATTCTCAGGTCGGTACGCCTGATGTTCCTGCACGTGATTCAGTCAAGTCACGTCTGAGCTCCTTGGAAAGAGTGCAAGCTAAAAAGACAGGCTTTATTCAATTCGAACATTTGTTTTTCAGATATAGTGTACCATCCATGGAAGAAGGAGGAAGATGGGAACCAGACCAGAGAAATCATGTACACCATCTCTCTGTCCAACCCCCTGGCTCCCAAAACAGCCACAGTCACTGAGACACAGGTAGAGTCATGTCAAGTAGAAACATGTTTAATTATTTAAGCTCTGCTGTGCTTTATGAGACACTTAAACTACATTTTGTTGATTGTATCAGACTCTATACAAAGCCAGTCAGGAGAGTGAGTGTTACATCATTGATGCTGAGGTCATCACACACGACGTCCCCTATCATGACTACTTCTACACTCTCAACCGCTACATGCTCACGAGGGTGGCCAAGAACAAGTGTCGGTTACGGTGAGTCATAAGACTTCGTGACATAATTATTTTTGGACCATCTTTCCCCGTGTTTAAATTATTTTTAAGTGTTTCTTTTCATGGTTTATCTCAATTTATTTAGCATTTTATTGCAAAGACAGAACCTGTGTATAAATACAGTCATCCTCTTCTCCTAGGATATCAACAGAGCTGCGTTACAGGAAACAGCCATGGGGGCTGGTAAAAGGCTTCATAGAGAAGAACTTCTGGAGTGGGCTTGAAGAAAACTTCCGCCATCTTGGTAAACTCCATGGTTGTTTGGTTGGCTGTTTCGATTGGTCACATCAGTCATGTGGTTTTCTTAACAAGAAGACTCAGAGAGCGCAACTCGAAGAGCAAGGGCTAAACTAAAACCTTTATTTATGATGCTTTCATTACAACATGCAGATGTCAGCTTGTGTTTATTAGAATATGATGACCTCAGCCTGTTATGGCGTCACTGTGAGCTCGTAGAGCATCGTATTTTTTCAAAAAAGGGGGTGTTATGCTCGATATGATCTTGGGCGCTAACAATGAAGGTCAAACTCAAATGCTCAGCCAACATGGTACCCGTCCTCCAAGGCCTGGTATATTGTTTTGAACGCCATAAAAATTGTGGGTAATATAGTTTTTTTTTACTGATTTTAACATTTGATGTGATCTTGACCCTAGTTATACCTTAATGAGAAGTAAAATAATGGCAACGATAGACTTAATCTAATCATTGCTTAATGCTTAAAGAGAGAACAAGAGCATGTGGATGTTTTCAACAAACTGAAAGTGCATGGGTGTTATATATATTTATATGTAACAGGTGTGTTTTTCCTCTCTCAGAGTTGGAGCTGTCCAAGCTGGAGGAGATACTCATGGAGACTCACCAGCTGTCTCCAAAGGCAAAAGTGGTGAAGAACTCCACGGTGAGGCGCAAGAAGAGGCCGCTTCCCCACATGCGCAGCCAGCATCTGGATGAGGCCCTCAGCCCCGTTACCACGCCGACAGATGAGGAAGTGATCCAGAGGATCAAACACGTGGCCGGCTCCACGCAAACGAGACACCAGAGTCCAGAACACCTGCCCGGAGGCTTCGCTCTGTACAGCGTCTCCAAACTGCTGCTCATCATCAGCTTTGTGTAAGCAGCTCATCAGAGCACGCACGTGCACACGTCATTCCTGTGAGGATGGCTGCACAGTTGTCCATCAGGATGTAAATGTACATTTGACACATGCTGACATGACTTATTTTAATTTCCTTAGAAATATGTCATTATTGTTCTTTTGAGTGTAACTCCTTTCTCCTCTTCTTTCATTGCCATCCATAGGATCTGTCTCAGGTACACATATATGTTCTCTGATATATAGACAGATTACAAATTATAGAAAAACTAACAAACTGTCTTAGTAAGGTACTGGGCCACTATATGTCGGCCGATTGGCTTTAGCGTTCCTTAGCAAGTTTGCTCTTTTATTTAATGTCTCAATGTCGGTGGAGAGTGACTGACTGACTGATGCACAGTCCAAAGTTTCCTGTAGGCATTCAGTGATGTTGAACTCTCATTACTCTAAAAACAGCTTTGTTCCCACGTGTGTGTATCAAACTATTTAGCGACGCCCTCGTGTCCTTTATCCTGTCAGGGTGGATAAAGTTTGCAAGTAGATCCAAACTATGTGAGCAAAATGCCCCCAAAGCATAACAGAGATTCATTTAATCATTACATTTGTCATCCGTCTGTATTCAGTATTTATTGAAAACCATCCCACAGTCAAAGTGTACTTTCAGTATACATCAGAGTGCTCATACCAGCTCATTAGAGGCATTATGAATGATTTCAAAGTGAAGCTGAGCCCTCGTTTGTTGACTCTCTTTCTTCATTTCTGTCTCTTTGCCCTCCTCCAGCCTGGTCCTGCTTGTGTTCCTCAACATGATGCTTTTCTACAAACTGTGGATGCTGGAGTACTCTGCGCAGTCCTTAACAACCTGGCAAGGTCTGCGGTTTCATGAAAGGTAAACACACCCCAACAGATCCATGTGTACACACGGTTTATTGCACTGTTTTTTTCATTACTCTTTACACAGAACTTTCTGTTAAACACATTAAAGATACCCAAACACTGTAATACAATTCCAGACAGGCACACACATCTGTAAAGTAAACTGCATCCATATTGCCTTGAACAGGAAATCTCCGCGCTTGCTTACTGATTGTTAGCAGTCCCTTAAAATGGAAATAATGCTTCAGTGCCTGCACCCTTAGGTTGCTGTGTGTGTTTATCTGTGTGTGTGTTTTTCCAAGTAAACTGCCTCAGACGCAGATGGAGTGGGCCCAACTCCTGGAGGCACAACAGCGGTACCACGATGCTGAGCTGCAAAAGTGGAGGGAGATTATCAAGTCATCCGTAGTGCTGCTGGACCAGGTATAGAAAAAGTTTCTTTTTTTACAGCAGATAGTAAATAATAATATAATTAACATTATTTAAATTAAATAAGATAAATAATCATTCTGAAAATGTAGTTTTACTTTTATTTATGTGTTTCAATATTTTTAATAGTTTCATTTTTAATATTAGTGTAATTTTAATATTATTTCTGCCAGAAGAGATTGTACGTGTTCTCATAAATACATTCAACTCTGACCAAAGCTTACATTTGCTAACTAGCTTGATTTTAATTTATGCTATTGCGACCAAAAGTTTGAATAACTTTTTCGCCTGTTATTAAAATGGAGAAAATACTATTTAACATGTGTTCCTGTTGTTTTGCTTCTTCAGATGAAAGACTCTTTATTGAACCTCCAGAGAGGCATTGGTTTAAGGGACTACCCCTCTGAGACTGAGGAGAAGCGCAGTCGCTATCACTGACACACTACCATCAGGCCATGAGGGCATGCTGTGCAATACGGGACCTGTTTTCTTTTTGAACCAGTATGCCGTCAGCGGCAAGACAGAGAGAGAACAGAGAGGGGTGATGGGACCAATAGTGAGCGGATCCATGGACATAAAGAGAGGAACAGTCATCTCTAGCGTATGGAAGTTAAAACCACCCCCAGAGGATGAAACCACGGACAGAAAGGGTCCCGATCACACACAGGAATCGAGCTATCCCCAACAAGAGGAGGTGCAAGACTTGCTTCCTCTAAACACCTTGGGGATAACCGTTTCCTTCTACTCTCTTTATTTCCAAGTGCATCCTACTGTAAGCCATGTGAGCCAGGAGCGTGGCGGAGAGAGCGAAGGAAAACTACTGCATGCATTTAGACAACCTATCTCCCCTCAGTCAGTGTTAATGTGGTCCAGTTCCAGTCTATGTGTGTCTGAAAAAGAACAGAAGAAGAGGAGAGATTGAGTCAAAGAAAAGGGGAGGGGGATCCTTTTGAGCCTTAACGGCTTTCTACACTCTCCGACTGTTCCAAATCAATCGTACCCTAGAGGTCCTCGCTGCAGCGTCCCTTCAGTAAACCTCCAGGTGATCAGAGGACAGGTTCACTCCACGAGAAAAGACGTATTGTAGCTGGGAGATCAGCTTCACTGATCAGCCCTTATTGCCTTGTTTGAGCCTGGACTGTGTGGTTTCTGTCCGGGCTGGTTCCCTGACATACCGATGAGTAGAGCGTAAGATTGATAAGATGCGATTCGCAGGCTCGGTTTCTCCCGTCACAGTGTTACCTACCTTATGTCACATTATTTCTCATCCTTCTGATGAAGTCGAATGTATTAGTCTGGGGGGAAAAAGAAAAAAAAAAGGCTGGACTTTGATCACAACTTGATAAACTTTGAAACGGGGACGCTGCAGCTAGACCGACCAGTAGGGAGTCCTGTGTTCTTACATGTTTTATTACTAAACTGTGATTATATCTCTTTAAAAATGTTTCAGATCGGAAAGAGGTCATGAATATATTTGAAATATATAAGAATATTTCATTATTTAATAATATATATATATATATATATATTTCAAAATATATAAAAAACATTACCTATATTTATTGTTAATTTATGTACATACAGAAATGATCAGAGCTCTAGACCAGTTAAAGAATTTCTAACAAAAAGTGTTTTCTTCTAAAGATGCATGCCAGATATGTCTGTGACATGTCCAGTGTGCAAGTATGATTCTTCATTCGCGCGATTATGTTCGCGCACGTGAGCGTGTATATGTGTACGTGTGTGTGTGTGTGTGTGTGTGTGTGTGTGTGTGTGTGTGTGTGTGTGTGTGTGTGTGCAGGAATTTTTACCATTCCACATGTCTATGTTTCTTTTCTGGCTCTTCCAGCTGGACTGCCTTCTTTTCTTTTTTTAATGCTGATGTGTTTGGATGCTGCCTTGCATTAGTCCCACCAGGGTGCAGCTGCACATTTGAAGAGTTTTGTTCCAAAATGATGTATCAGACAGCTGGAAACAGCCACGATCGATTGGTTAGGTAGTGTCACATGCACATTTGGCTAAGAAGCTAAACGATGCCTGGCTCGACCGCAGGAGGAAACACAAATCCCTTTGAGGTTGTGTCAGTAAGAGCATCTCGCTTAAAATCAAAAATAACCGGAGCTACCTGCTGTGACAACCCTTTCTAAATAAGGGCAGGAAAAAAAAGTAAAAATATATATATTTTGCAGTTTGCAAAAATGAAATGGATACATGCTATTTTGGAAATGAACCCTTCGTGCCCCCTGTGAGCAACTCTTCTGTTCATTTCACCACATTAGCTGCCGCTGTTTGCTAAACAGGAAGAGGTTTTGGCATTTTAGGAAATCTGCACATTTGCTGTAAGGTTGGATGATATGATCAGATGCTACTGTCACGTGTGTAAACTAAGTAAGTAAATAAGAAACAAAAAGAAACTAAGCCTGACAGTTTTTGTTCATTCTTTGTAAGTTTAGATCTACCTTCATATTTGGCATCTTGGTAGGATCTTTTCATCTTACTCTCAGTAAAAAAATAAATAAAAAGTGAGAGCATAAGCACATTCCTCAAAATCGAAACCTCTTCCTTTAAAAATACCTGCGTTAACTCAAAATGTACTCTACCTTTCCCCGTTTCAAGTGTCTGTCTTGGATGCAGTGAAAGCATGAGAATTAACTTTATGCAACTAAATTGAACCAAAAGAAAGTAGAAATGTACTTTCACAGAGGACGTATTGTTTTAAATTAAGTATTTATCATGTATGTTATATATATATATATATATATACACATACATACATACATACACACACAGGTGTTAGTATGGTGGTTTACTCATTCACCTAACAACATCCCCAGGTTTGATCCCAGAATGATGCACAAATCCCTATTTGGGGTTGCATCAGGAACGGCACCCGGTGTAAAAAAAAAAAGTAAGAATAATAATTTTATCTGCTGAATCAAACACACTGATCTGCCCGCTATGGCAACCCCCTTGTGAATAAGGGAGCAGCTGAAAGCAGCTATATAAAAAGTAGTGTTACGTTTGCTGAGGCCTCGCCCCAAACTTAGCCTGGCACACCTTCTCGTCCGTTTTCCGGAGCAAAGATGGGACGAGCGATCAGTATGAGGGCAAGCAGATAACTTTACTGTGGCGTGTTCTCGACCGACATATTGAGCGCATTCCATTTGAAGAAGGCACAGTGACGATAACGCACAGAAACCTTAAGACGTGAATGTGAGCGATTTTGAGATGTTTTCTGTTTTATAGAAATCACCTTCACAATCTCGAAGGCACTGAAAGATTATAGTGAAGTTATGCTTTGTGTGTATGACGGTGCGAATACATGGAAATGTAACTGAAATGCTTTAAGAGTTTGTTTTCAAGTGTAGTGAGTAGATTTTTTCTTCTTCGTTTTCAGATGCTTCTGTAGTAAATGCTTGATTGAGATGGTTTTACTGACACGTTTTCACCGTCGCGGCTGAGTGAAGCAGTTAATGTCACCTCAGTCCAAGTCAGACGCTCGATCGGGCATTTGAGGAAGCTGTTGCGACAGCAAACTTAAGTTTTATTTCACAAATCTGAACAGTTATGCAAATTTACTTCTTGTTTTTCTTTTTCTTCCGAACTGTTTCTCATTTTTACCAGCAAATTAAACAAATTAAGTTTCATTCTATAGCAATCAACACTTCTTTTTTTTTTCTGTCCATTTGCTTTCACTCTTTCTCTCCTAGCATGCACTCACGCAGTTAATCTGTGTTAATCGAATGATTGTATGGTTGCTATCGCTGCACAACTGTGGAACCAAGGTGACCTGGGAGATTTTGTCACTGACAGCAGATGGAGTTTCTGTACGTGCTTTGTTAACTGTATCCATTGGGCATTCGCCTAGAGGCAACAGAGCTACCCTTGCAACACAGTGCTGACTAACAGCCTTGGTTAACACACAGTAGGAATCACACGCAACCTCCTGAAAACGACCACTGATTAAAACTCTTCTTCGAGTGTGTCTTGATAAAACATGTACTGTGTAGTTCTGTTCAAAGAGAATTCTGCTGTATGTTTTTTTTAAAGGTTTTGATCTCTAGACTTTTAGTGAAATTTCTACATGAGATGAATATGCTGTATGTATATGTTGTGTATATCTGCAGTGTGCACACACGCACACTGTCAAAAGAATCCGACCTGCGCTGCGCGTAGGTTTTGACTTGCTGATGACTTTTGCCTCATAGAGATGGGAGATAAAAGTGGCTTTCTGGTTCATGTGAAGTAGAGGTTGGAAGTTTGAATAAAGAAAAAATACTAAAACAGATGCTGCTGCTATTTTTGGTGTGGTTATTTTTGAGTTTCACAAATGCAGTAATGCGTGAGAAGAAAATTAACATTCATGAAAATCTGGAACTGAATCACAAAAACGGATCCTTAGCAGATTTGAGAATGAGGTAAATACAACCTCATTCTAAGACAAACAGCAACACGTGAGCTCTTACTGTCAGGATATGTTGTGTTAGGACCCAAGATGGAGAGGTTAACAAAAGGCATTATTGGATTGATGGAAATCTACACAAGGCCAAACGCAAAACGATGCAAAACAAGTGCAAACTATTTCAATTCACGAGGGACCAGGGATCAGAATGACGCTAGAGAACTGAACTACGTTCTGACAACAGAAAGAAAGTGTATAAATACACAGCGGGGAGATTAGAGCAGAGAAGAAACACCTGGGACACAGTACCAAGACACAGGTGGACAGGAAGTAACTGATGAGAGGGAGGAAAACTGAACACAATGCCCACGAGACTAAGGATTAGCAAACTAAAACAGGGAACATAAATAGAGAGTCAGGGACTATGGAATGTGAACCTGACATGAACATATAGTGCAGAATTATTAGGCAAATGAGTATTTTGTCCACATCATCCTCTTCATGCATGTTGTCTTACTCCAAGCTGTATAGGCTCGAAAGCCTACTACCAATTAAGCATATTAGGTGATGTGCATCTCTGCAATGAGAAGGGGTGTGGTCTAATGACATCAACACCCTATATCAGGTGTGCATAATTATTAGGCAACGTCCTTTCCTTTGGCAAAATGGGTCAAAAGAAGGACTTGACAGGCTCAGAAAAGTCAAAAATAGTGAGATATCTTGCAGAGGGATGCAGCAGTCTCAAAATTGCAAAGCTTCTGAAGCGTGATCATCGAACAATCAAGTGTTTCATTCAAAATAGTCAACAGGGTCGCAAGAAGCGTGTGGAAAAACCAAGGCGCAAAATAACTGCCCATGAACTGAGAAAAGTCAAGCGTGCAGCTGCCAAGATGCCACTTGCCACCAGTTTGGCCATATTTCAGAGCTGCAACATCACTGGAGTGCCCAAAAGCACAAGGTGTACAATACTCAGAGACACGGCCAAGGTAAGAAAGGCTGAAAGACGACCACCACTGAACAAGACACACAAGCTGAAACGTCAAGACTGGGCCAAGAAATATCTCAAGACTGGTTTTTCTAAGGTTTTATGGACTGATGACATGAGAGTGAGTCTTGATGGGCCAGATGGATGGGCCCGTGGCTGGATTGGTAAAGGGCAGAGAGCTCCAGTCCGACTCAGACGCCAGCAAGGTGGAGGTGGAGTACTGGTTTGGGCTGGTATCATCAAAGATGAGCTTGTGGGGCCTTTTCGGGTTGAGGATGGAGTCAAGCTCAACTCCCAGTCCTACTGCCAGTTTCTGGAAGACACCTTCTTCAAGCAGTGGTACAGGAAGAAGTCTGCATCCTTCAAGAAAAACATGATTTTCATGCAGGACAATGCTCCATCACACGCGTCCAAGTACTCCACAGCGTGGCTGCAAGAAAGGGTATAAAAGAAGAAAACTAATGACATGGCCTCCTTGTTCACCTGATCTGAACCCCATTGAGAACCTGTGGTCCATCATCAAATGTGAGATTTACAAGGAGGGAAAACAGTACACCTCTCTGAACAGTGTCTGGGAGGCTGTGGTTGCTGCTGCACGCAATGTTGATGGTGAACAGATCAAAACACTGACAGAATCCATGGATGGCAGGCTTTTGAGTGTCCTTGCAAAGAAAGGTGGCTATATTGGTCGCTGATTTGTTTTTGTTTTGTTTTTGAATGTCAGAAATGTATATTTGTGAATGTGGAGATGTTATATTGGTTTCACTGGTAAAAATAAATAATTGAAATGGGTATATATTTGTTTTTTGTTAAGTTGCCTAATAATTATGCACAGTAATAGTCACCTGCACACACAGATATCCCCCTAAAATAGCTAAAACTAAAAACAAACTAAAAACTACTTCCAAAAACATTCAGCTTTGATATTAATGAGTTTTTTTGGTTCATTGAGAACATGGTTGTTGTTCAATAATAACATTATTCCTCAAAAATACAACTTTCCTAATAATTCTGCACTCCCTGTAGACACACATTAAAGCTAAACAAACATGGAGGCGAAAGCTGACAACTCGCT